GAAAGGGAATGGAAATTATTCGCAAAACTATAAAAACGTGAGAGTGTCGAAAGTGTTCAAAGACATGATAATTTCCAGAGTATCCTGCGGGGGAAGGCAAAGGTGTCGTCGCAAAAGGATCAAAGGAAGAAGAGCGTGGCGTTCACGGAGCGGCTGACGGAGATCATCGGTTACGGTGGCGATGACTTTTTCTCGGACGGTGACGAGGGTGACGAGCAAGACTTCGTGGAGTCTTTGAACGGGGACGACGACGCGTTGCCAGACAGCGAGGAGGAGCGAGCTTTGGGCAACCTGACGCGTGCCAATACCAATTTCAACACGATCACTGCCAACCTGACGGAGATCGTCTCGACGAACGAGACGAGCAAGTCGTCCGCCGCGACGAAATCCTTCGCGTCGCTGATGCTCGGCAGGATACAAAAGGACTCGGAGGGCAAGAAGACCACGTTGCTGGTCTCCGTCACGCCGTTCGGCGGCGACGAGTCTTTGCCGACCGCGAAGAGGCCCAGCGACAAGAAGGTGAATGGTTTCGTCAGTGGTTTCAGCAACTTCTCCAGGTCTAAAGTGGCGGATACTGACAAATCAGAGGTTGGTTCGGCATTTTCCTAGCATCGAATTCGTACTGTGTAGCTTCTCATCAACTTGAGAAGTTAGAAATTTCTATGGTTATAGAGCGACGGTTCGCAACCCGAACAATATTGGCAATGGCGGAAAAAACACACACAAAAAAAAGAGAGTTGAAACAAGAACAAAGTTATATAGAGTTTTGACTTGATATGCCAGTAGGTTAATTCGAGCTATTTAGCTAAACTAAAAAAATTAAAAAAAAAAACTCTTTTAGAAGGATAGGATATTCATAAATGAAAAGCCTAATAGGTACGGGAGAGAAAAAAAGATTGGGAACTTGTGCCCAGAGGACTGAAAGACAAACTAATAAATCTCGTTTAAATTTTCGTTGCTTGTAACAAGAATTTATAAGGTGATTCACAATTAAGGAATATATAATTGTGTTAACACTAGAATTATCGACGACCAAAGCATAAAATTTCCATCAGAGACGTTAAACTAAAAGAAACGGAAAATCTTTACAATACTTATAAATAGTGTAGGCAAGCTTTTATTTGTGTATTTCACGAAGAGTCATTTAAATCTCTAAAAATACACTGTTCTATATCTATAAAGTACCTAAATAAAAATTACCAATTGGTCGTTTTGACCATTTTGGTAGTTCTAGTGTTAAAGAGGTTAACAAGTCAAGCGGGTGTAACAAGTTAATAAAACTTTACATTATTTAGACAACTGGATTAATGTCAAATGTAATAGACACGTGAGAAGGCTGCTGAGATCGTTTCAAAGGAATCGTTCATTCCACGGCATGGAGTACTCCATTAAATTTTAATTGGATTTTTAATATTCTTACAGACGGCGGCGAGAAGCACGAAGAAAGCTTACGACGTCGACGCAAAGAAGGAGGAAAAGAAGGATCAAAAGTACTCGCCCGGTATGGAGAAGATCGTGGACATGCCCCTGATCACGTCCAGCAATTTAATTTCTGTAGTCCAACGAAACACGGAGCCTGGCGATTCCGACGATAGCAAGAACAAAACGTCCGAGTCGAATGTAACCAACGTTGTCGAGAGGAGCCCGGAGTGCGGTAAATCGGACAAGAATGGTGCCAATTGGCGAAGCCAACCAACGAGAAAGTCCGACGATGAGAAATCGAGGCTGCCTGCGCAAGCTTCGTCGAACAGCGTCAAGATCGAGTGCGACTTTGCTGGGAAAATTGCGAAGATAGAGCAAGAGAACGACAAGGGTATCGAGTTGACTCTGACGCCTTTGAAGAACGAAGCCTCTGACGAGGCTGCTGAAAGCGACAGATCCATGCTCGTTCGTGGGAAAGAGGCCAACAAAATCAGCGTGTCGTTGAACGTAGAAGGTAGAAAGCTCGTCAGGGATGATCGTCCGTTGCTCGAAGCACGGAAAGTGGAGGGCGAAGCTACGCCCCCGGAGAAGAAATTCAGTTTCGAGGAAAGTCGAGAATCGGCTGGCGAGCCGGACGGAAAAGCGGACGAGGAGCAAGTGACGGAACCACCGGCTCTCCCGAAGAGTCCTCCGCCCGTTGAGGCTAGGTCTCCTCTTCAGGGCGAGACGCGCAAGACGCCGATAATCACCACGGAACCCAGACCGTCCTTCCTACACGGAGTAGTTCACACTAATCCGGAGTCGAAGCTGAAGCCTACAGTGCCTCAAAAGCCGACTAATTTCTTGGCCAAGGCCGGCTCTGTTGCTCCGTCCGATGAGAACACGAAGAAGAGTCACGCGCTGGCTCCTCCTTCGATTCAAAGCGCCGGTGGAAAGCCTGTTTCCACTGTTGCCGCGGGTGAGAACTCGTTTCTTCCTCGATCTTTTAAATTTTTACCGAATGCTCTGCAGCGTTGAAATTTCCAAATATTCGGACCTCTTGAATTCGGATTCAAGTTGAATTTGATAGGCACGTGACCGTGTAAATTCTCGCGTGTAAAAAATATTTAACATTTTGACGGTCGCGTATTTTTCTTCTCGCTTTTTAGGTTTTACTGCTCGCCACCGGTGATATTTGCGCGGTATCGTTCGTAGGATAATTAGTAATTAGGCAATTTAGTGTGAACAACGAATTCGATTTTCGTGACAATCGCTGATGAAGAAAAGCCACGCGTACATGTTAAATTTCCCAAGAGTGAGTAAACGCGGCGTCGCTAATCCGCGACGACGAGGACGTTTAACGCCGGCAAACAATTAGATCACTGTCGCTGCGACTCCAGGATTATTCGTAAGCAGATCGGATAGACGTACCGCGCGAAATCACCCCTCTAATTAGTCGAAACGATCCGCGTAATCGCCGGCAGACGCTAGGTCCACGGTGCGCCACTCCCCGCTCTAATTAACGACATTTGCATTTCTAACTGATTTACAGGTGCCAACAGCGTCTCATCTGCGGAACAGATAACTTCGTCTGCACGCCTGGCGACTATCAAAGACAAGCCAAAGGAGGGTCAAGTTGCCGCCGCCTCGCTCGTGGATCAGAATCGCGGCGAGAACCTCGTCAACGAGAACGCCCCAAAGGATCCGGATCAGCGAGAAGACAGAACTTCTCTGTCCCGTCAAGATGCTGTCTCAAAGCCCGCCTGTCAAGGCGTCGAGTCGAAGTCACCGAGCGCCGAAGTCTCAGCAACTCCGAGATCGTCGACCGTAGTCAAGTCAAAGACGCTGTTGACCGTTATCAGAAGTCAAACCGCAGACGCGGGAGATAACGTAGAGTGTCCGGCAGCGGAGGAGGAAATTTTAGATAGCCAGCTCTCGGCGGCGGAGTCGATACGGTCGCCGAGCAAGAGGAGAATGGCGCCGAAACCTCCGGCCGCCGATCCCGCGGAGGAACTGCTTGTCCCCAGTTCCAGCTTGTTCGCCAGAAATCCCGGGGCGAATTTCAAATCGGACTCGCCGGTGGTCAGGGAGAAGGAGAAACGAGAGAGAGCCTCCTCCTGCAGTCCGAAGTTTCGCAAGGCCGTCTCGGACTTGCCAGATCCGACGAGCGCGCAAACCGTGTCGGATCCAGCGTCGAGGAGAACGATATCGCTGTCGCAGGACAGCTTGACGAGCGGCACGGAAGTCCGGGAGGAAAAGAAGAGGGGCAGACCGCGTTTCTCGTTGAAGAGATTTCTGAGGATGGGCTCGAGGAAAGACGTGGACATGATCAGTGGTCACGCGTCCAGCTCGAGGATCGACGAGATACCGTCGACGCCGCAACCGAAGCCACGATTGGAGATTATTCACCCGCTCGAGCTGGACGGCGCTGCCGTTGAAGTGGTGGGCAACGATCGAATCAACAGGATAAACGAAGATCAACCAGATTCCTGCGGCTTGAGGGGCGACGCGGCAAGAGCAACTCGATCACCGATGTCCACCGCTGGATCGCACGCCGCTGGTAAGTTCCCCTTTTGACATTCGATCGTTCCGTTCGATAGCGATTTACTGTCCTCGAGAGGAGGGCTCGCGCAGAACCCCACCGACGAGTGAGAGTTTTCTTTGGTGGAATTTTTTTCTTGCGATATTGGTCCCTTCGAATCGAGTTTATCCGATCAACGATACGATGAACATTATTGCGACATCGTGGCACGTCTATCAATGTTCGAGCGTGTAACGCGACGATTATCTCCACCATTGAGCGAATTCTACGAATTTTGTTAAATTTGCCTAAGGTTTGCAAACTAGCCTTGTAAAACGTTCGTCGCGGTGTGTTGCAGTGAGACCCGGGAAACCACCACCACCGCCGAGGAACCAGTCTCTGGAGGATTGGTCGAGACTGGATCCAGCGAGCAAACCGGTCAGACCACCACCGCCGCGAGTCGAGACCAAACAACCGCCGTTGAGAAGCGAAGTCAAGTCATCCGGCAAGTCGTCGTCGTCCTCGTCGTCGTCGTCGTCCCCGTCGTCTTCGACGTCCTCGTCCTCCTCGTCGTCCTGGCAACCGGCAGCCTCGACCACCTCAGACTCGATTTACGCGAATCTGGGTAAGTTCAGGCCCATCCAATGTAACTAATGACTATCCACGGCAAGAAGTCTCGATGTCGTAACAGCCATACTCACACGAATCCTCGCGCCAGTTTGCTTCCCCGACGAGTTTGCAGTTTCTCACCGCGGGAGTGAACGCCCGATCGGGGGGGAAACGTAATCCTGTAACGCTGGACAACGGTGGTTAACTCTCACCCCCAACTCTCCCCATCCCCTTTGTCGGTTTTTCTCTTCGTTCCTCGTTCCGCCGAGGGTCGACGTACCGGGTCGTCGTGAAACAGCCGTCTCTTTTCAACCGTCTCTCCCCCGCCCCTTTTTTTTCTCAATTTCGACGGTGCTCGTTTGTCCGCGCGAACGAAGATTTCGGGACTTGGACGATCGACGAAGACGAACAACCGGGATCCCGCGAATATCAGTGCGTCAGATTAATGAAATGTTTTTCTCTCTCGGTGTAACACGTTTTTCTTTTAACTTTGCTATATGCCATACGCGTTTCTTTTTTTTTTTTT